GCATCTATTGTAGTGATTGGAGATCTGGTACAGGCAAGTGACATTAGTATAAAATAGGGGCAGACCAAAGGACCAAAATTTGAGCATTAGGGGTTCAAACTTGCTACTATTCAAGGAGAAGTAGGTATTAAAGTGGATGAGGCAGTAGTGCACTGTAGTTTCCTCCAACAAACTCAGGAATTCAAACTTCTTACTGTGCTGTGATTGCCAGGTGTTTTGCAACCACCCCCGGCCTGATAGGTTCATTGTCAGTTCTCTCAGACAAAAAAGATGATTTTGGAGCCTTCGGTAGATTTTCACAGGCCTTTAATGCTGCATCAGGGGACAGACCAGCTTTCTGTCAGCATTTCTTTCTTGTCCTTCTGCCCGAAAGTGACGCTGCCCTTATAGACTCTTGCCACAGGTGTCTCTGTTTACAAAGATGCATGTCCCACACTCTCTGGGCACAGGTGTGCATGCAAAACTGCAGGTGTCAGTTATAGATGCTAATGGTGGGAAGGTATGAAAGCCTAACTTTAAACTCATTTACCCTAAACCAGGGTTATGTTTTGTGGATCCACAATGAGAGCCCCAGCCCCGCCCCCCCCCCCAGCCCCGTCTAGTCCAGCTCCTTGGACTGACTTATAATTTGGTGTCAGCTTCCACCTCTGCTGTTTGAGTACTAGATACCATGCTGGACATGGAGTATAGTTTATACAAGGTCACAAGTCAGGAGTTGTTTACTTTTCAGTGCAGAGCCTTAGAGATGGGGTGTTCACCTTTATTAACAGATGCCTAAATTCTACTTATGCAAATGTTAATTCATTTTCTCGGTTCAGGTATTCTGAATAGCTCAGCCTCAGGCTTCAAGTAGTAGCCTCCTTTATGAGGAAACTGTGATTTGACCTGGTTTGCCCCACCAATTTGTATTCCAGTTGTTTTCTAATGGGAGTCTCAAGCTCAAATAAGTAATTGTTTTTCATCCCTGCTCTTACAGGTCTCCAGTGGTACACCCTCTTCCCTAGAGTCCAATTTTGTGCACCCCCTTATGCATTGCAGTGCTTGGTCTCCAAAGTCCTCATATTGGGGTGTGTGTGTCCCTGAATCAACAACTGTAATGGTTTCTGCACAGTAGCCATCCCTCCCTCTCACGGGTTGTACATCCCCACTACCTGTGTCGACATAGTTTAATTACAGTATTCCCTACCACTTTCCATTAGACCAGTACTCCCAAGGTATACTATAGTTGTCTATTTTTCCTCTGGGGGCTATTTTTCGTGCTGGAAATAAGTGATATATGGAGGAGGCCATCCCAACCTCTTCACTTTGCTGTGTCTTGCAGGATTCTTCTCCTATGGATGACTTTTCAGGGCTGAATCCTTTACCATCGCAGTTCTAATACATGTGCTGTATTCATCTTTACTCATTCACCCCCACATTGGTTTGCTCTGTAATCTATAGTAGTAATCCAAAGATATTAAAAGCATTTTCCATTAAAATATATTAGGTAATTATGAGTCTTAAAAATTCTTTAGTTTTACATTGTTTTTAAAAATTTTATTATTATTATATTAATTTATTTTTACATATTTTTGCACATTTTTCCATCTGAATCGCAATCCCTTGGGTTTCCCATCACCAAACCACCCATGTGCCATCACCATAGTAGTTTTACATTATTTTACTAGTTATAATCATAAATATTTATATAGCCACTAATATAGCCACTTAATTCTTACTCCATGGAAATTAGTTATTATAATTCACGAACTACCAAATTGCTAATAACTTTTAAACCTCGTGGTGCAACGGGTTAAGCTCAGCACTGCAAAGCGAGCTGAAGTTGCTTCACTGCAAGTTCAATCCCCAGCCCCAGAGGTGATCCACATGGCGCGGCAGACTTCTCCTGTCTCGCCTGCTGCTGCCCTCAGCAGTGTACTTTGTCATTCTGCCTGCTCTGCTCCCCACTCTGTCTCTGGTGAATCCTTTCATTGCCCCTGCACCTCTGGCCTGTACCCCAGTTCTGTATGCATAAATAAACAAAACTTTAAAAAAGAGTCTTAAACAGATGTTATACATTTAACAGAGGTGTTGGGCATAGAGTCAACAGAGCAGAGTGGTGGAAAGACAGTAGGCCACAGTGCAGGTCTTCCTTAATTCATGATAAACTTAACATAAGTCAAAAGTAAATAGGAAACATTAAGGTTGAAATACATTTAACACAACTAACCTAGAGGACATCATAACTAAGTACAGCCTACTTTAATTATGCTGACAATTGTTACATTAATCTGCAATCTAGCTAAAGCATCTTTATACAAAGCCAAGTTTATAACAAAGTATTGAATGTCTCATGTAATTTATTCAATACTGTAATAAAAGTGAAAAACAAAGTTTCTCTATGGATTCTCAACCTGAATGTACAGAGATAAACACACACTGGGCCAGAAGAATGTTTGAACATTTAATTAAAATTAATTGCTGGATGATGGTCATCAATTTTTTACTCTTCTGATATAGTTCATTGTGGTTTTGATTCATATTTTCTCTTTGTGGTTTTGATCAGTATTTCCTCCTGATAAGTGATGTAGAACATATTTTCCTGTGTCTTTTAGCCATATATGTATGCCTTCTTTGGTGAAATCCCTATTTGTATTCTCTGTTCATCTTTTTTTTTTTTAAATAAATTTTTAAAGATTTATTTATTTATGCATTCATAACTGGGGTACAGGCCAGAGGTACAGGGGCTATGAGTGTTCACCAGAGACAGAGTGGGGAGCAGAACAGGCAGATTGATGAAGCACACTGCTGAGGGGAGAAGCAGGCAAGACAGGAGAGGTCTGCTTTGCTATGTGGGTCACCTCCCCGGCCAGGGATCAAACTTGTGCTGCAGTGGCTGCAGAGAGCTTTCATAGTGCTGTGGTTTAACCTGTGGTGCCACCAGAGAGGGCCCTCTCTGCTCAGCTTTTAATTAAATTGTATGTTTTTTTTTTGTTGTTGTTGTTATTGCTGAGTTTTATGAATTGCTTATGTACTTTGAATGGTAACTCCTTTCATAAGGTATTGGCAAATATTTTATAGAATTTAATAGGCTGCCTTGTAATTTGAATGATGGGTTATTTTGCTGGTACAGAAGTACTTTATTTCTTTTTTAATTGTAAGACAATATATATGACTTAATGGATTTAGGGCAATACCTTTTCAGGTGCATGGTGTCCTACCACGCCCACCACCAATACTTCACTAAATCCATTGCCTCCCCCACAGCTCCTTTGGTGTTGTACACCAACCTCCCTCTCTGGTAGCCTCAATTCTACAGTCAGCTTATAGCAAGTGAAAAAATTAAAAAGAAGATATAAAATAATGAATATCAACTACTATTATTTGCATGAAAAAGCTTTTTTTGGGCACTTTTCTATATGAAAAATCTGAAAAAACACAGAATAAAGTCAGGAAACTGATATTTGTTGCTTCTAGAAAGAGAAACTGGATGTTTGAGTGACAGGGATAGACTTTTGACTTTAAAGTTTGAGCCTTTCAAAAGCAATGTAATGTAAGCTGATAAAATATTATTAAAATTACAGTTTTTAAAATTATGTTCCTGTATTTATATAAAAAAATAAAAGGAAGATATCTTGGATAATGCACAGGTATAACACAGGTGTGGTATAGTACCATGTATATGAAGAAGTATTAATCTAAACCCATTAAGTCATATAAATTGTTGTATGATTTTAAAAAGTCCAAACAGGTATTAAATGTGGGAGGTCAGATGTATGTGTAAGCATTTACTTTTTATGTTATACAAATTAAACACATAAAAAAGTCTTATACAGCCTCCCTGGTGGCACAGGGGTTAAAGTCTCAGCACTATCAAGCTATTGCCAGCCACTGTGGAATTGATTTCAATCCCTGGCCAGATAGCTGACCCATATGGCGCAGCAGACCTTTTCTGTCTTGCCCGTTGTTCCCCTCAGCAGTGCATTACAGTCGATCTGCCTATTCTGCTCCCCACTTTGTCCCTGGTGAATGCTTTCATGCCCCCCACACACACCTCTTACCTGTACCCTGGTCCTTGTATACATAAATAAATAAAAATAAATCTTTAAAAATAAAGATGGTCTAGGAACACTGTGCCAAGAGAGTGCAACTTTTTTGATTTAGCCATAAATATATGAGAGGCTCAGCCTTATTAAACTTGCTCTTGAGTCATGTCATTCCCTTCATCTTTCTGATGGATTGAAATAGCAAGACCTTACCATGCAAGGATTCACAGTAAAATAGTAAGCTGACCTTTAATTTTGCAATCACCTGTATGGAATAGAATGAAATTTCTCATATTAGAAGAGTTCTCTAGGAGACAAACATGAAAAGAATAGAGAGACACTTTTACAATTGTCTCAAAGGTAGAGCTAACATTTCAATAGTTAATTTAATGTGGGGGGGGGGGTGGTTGGGGAGCAATGGAAAAGAGCTTAGGATTTGGAGCCAGAAATTCTTGTGTTTATAACCTGGCTACATTTTATAGTAGCTATGTGACTTTGGATAATCAGCCACTGATCAACTATCACTAGCCTATTACCTATCTCACAAAGTTATGAAAGAAATTAAACTACATATATATGTGTATACACACACACACACACATATATATATATATGAAAGTGTGTTAACTCCATAGTGAGTGCTGTGCAATTGTATCATCACAGCAACCACAGTGGCAGAAATGACAACTGACTACATTAACTTCTATATTGTCATAAAGAGCATTTGCTCTTTACTCTCAGAATCAAATGTCAACTTTTATGACATGCAGCTGCCAGAAAGTCTCTGAATCAAAATTTGGTATTATAACCTGTTTTTGCCATTGTATGGAAAATGGCAAGAATGAACATTTCATAATATAATACCAGAAAATACTTGGTAATAGGAAAACAAAACAGAAATTTGTCGTTGAGCTTTGTCTTTCTGAACTCTTAGAAATAGAAGTATAAGTGCTGATTTTTTTTCTTAATTTTCAGTTATCTACCTCATATTCTACCATGCCATCTTTGTGTTCTTTACCTGGACCTACTGGAAGTCTATTTTTACACTCCCACAACAGCCAAACCAAAAGGTAAGAACACTTTGTTACTTCATAAAGTCTAAAAGGAGAGGAAAGTAGAAATAACATTAAGGTAAGAAGCTAGCAGAAAGAGCACTTCATTACAAAGATTCAGAATAATCTTTCTTATATGGTATTGTTTTTATTGAAGTGACATCAGTTTATACTACATATAATTTAGGGGTACGGATCATATTTTTTCAGCTATATGTTACCACACCATGTCCGCCAGAAAAGCACCAGTGATCCTCCACCATTGTCCATTGTTCCTCCTCCCACCCCTCCCCCCTGCCCCTTGCCCTGGTAGCCTCAATTCTATAGTCAGAGTTCTAGGGTTTGTTTTAGTTTAATTTTGTCTGTTCCTTTGTTTTGTTTCTCCTATTCCACATACAAGCGTAATCATCAGTGTTTTTCTTTTCCTACTTCACTTCCAGTTCCATCGATGACTTGGCTTTTTTAAATAATGTTGTAATGAACATAGATATGCTTTTGCCTTATTCAGGTAGATGCCTACAAATGGAATTACTGAATCATGTGGTAGATGATATTTTGAGAAACCTTCATACTTATTTCCAGAGGAACTGGATCAGTCTATGCTTCCACCAACAGTCTAGATGTTCCCTATTCTGTACATTCTTGCCAGCAATTGTTGTTTCTGGTCTTTTTGGTCAGGACCATTTTCACAGGTGTGAGGTGGTATCTCATTATGGTTTTGGTTTGTATTTCCCAGATTCACAGTAATCTTAAAAATAATTCTCAGTGATCAAGGTAAATTAAGATAGTTAATTGAGGGACTTTACAAAATCATCAGCTATGGATAGCTTTAAGACTAGGAAACCATTACCAGCATTGATGATATAATTGGAGAAACAAGAACCCATTGAATTCTGAAGATTACCTAATTCAGTTTTATGAAACTATATTATTTCAGTGCCCGTGAGACTTTGGAAGACAACTCATAGAAAAAAACTGCAATTATTAAAAGTCCAAATGTGTACCCTTAAATTAAAGGTTCCATGCACTATTTGGGAAGGCTCATCAATCAGATAAGGCATTTATAATGTGTGAGTATTCCAAGATAAATTAAGTTCCAAAGTATTTTAAAAAATGGAAGAAATTTTAACAGTCTCCAAATATGAGGTGAAATATTGTTTTAAATTTTTTTCATTTATGGAATCCAAATGGAGGAGAAGAAACATTAAAAAATAGAAATAAGTAATGGAGTACTAGAGTAACAAAAGATATAAACTATATAAAAAAAATAACAAAATGGCAGAAGTCCTTCCTTATGAGTAATCATTAGATGCATAAGTAGATTAAAATACCCAATTAAAATGCAGACATTGGTATAGTGGATAAAATTGATCATCTGTCTTTATTCTATTTATAAAAGATTCACTTTAGAACCAAAACCATAAATAGGTCAAAAGTGAAAGGATACTACTATAACCAATTAATAAACAAAAGAGAACAGGGGTGCCTATAATAATGTCACGTGAAATGTGCTTTAAGCCAAAAACTTTTACAAGCTACAAAGAAGAAAATGCTCTTACTGAGTGAGGTAAGAAAGAGCTGGGAAGTCTCAAGAATCTAATTAAGAACCTGCAGCAATACATTGAAAGAAAAAAAAAATGGGTAATATCCATACAGAAAGGATTGCAGGGCTAATCAGCATTGCTGAGACAATGGAGAAGGTTGAGGAAAAAAATGAAATGGAATGGAGGCTGTGAACCTTATCCACACAGTGGGTGCTGACATAGTCCCCAGTGGCCTACTTTGTTGAGAACACTGCCAGAGTTTGCTGCTAAATACCTTAACAGCCTGTGACAACCACAACTTCCTGAGACTTATAAGCTTGTAGGTAGAGTACCCCAATGTGTTTTTTGGTGTGTACTCCAGCAACCTGCTTCTCAGAGGATGCTGATACTATCAGCGTTTGCCACAGAGACTCTGACACTATATTTTCCCATGCGTCAGATTCATGGAGATACTGTCACTCTACTTATGCTCTAGAACCTGGATCCTTGGCCACTCTACAAGTGCTCACTCAATGAAAACTGGAATGCTGCTGCAGCAATAAATGCAGTAGAGACTAGGAAAAGATCAGAGAAACTAAGAGCTGGGTTTAAAAAAATTATAACCAAATTGATAAACTTTACACTATTTAAGAAAGAAGAGAGAAGACTCAAGTTAATAAAATCAGAAATGAAAGTGAGTTATTATAACTGATGCCACATTAAGACACTGCTATGAATGATTGACAATTGAACAGCCTAGAAGAAATGGATTTTCAAAGTAAAATATTGGCCAACTGGAACATGAAGATACAGAATATCTGAACAGCACATTAAAAGGATCATACTCCATGGCTAAGTGGAATTTAACCCTGAGATACACGGAGGATGGTTTAACATATATTAATCAATAAATATGATACATTGTATTTATAAGATGAAATATTTAAAAATTGTATGATCTTCTTACTTATACATGATTTCACTTATATGTGGACTATAAAGAAATAAAATAGAGAAAAAGACAAAATTAAACCAAAACAAATACCCTAGAAATGTGATTGTAGTATTGAAGAGGGAGAGATGACAGCAAAGAGGGAAAGGGCTAGTAAACTATGGTGGAGGTTATCAGTGTTTTAGTATTGGTGTGGTATGATAACATACATCAGAAGAGATGTGAAAGCAGTCCCCTACATCATATACAGTGTTGTAAACCAGCATTACTGAAATTAATTAAATAACACAATTGCTAAACCCAGTTTTACTGACACAAATTTGAAAGTCATTTTATAAAGAATTTTTTTCACTTGAAGTTATTCTCTGTATATAACATTGATCTGATGTTTACCGCAGAAATAATTGTTAAATGAAACAATAGATCGGTAAAATTATATGACCATATCAATAGCTGCAGAAAAAGCATTTGATAAATGTCCCTCAATGTAATAAAGGCCATATGTGGCAAGCCCACAACTACTATTATACTCAGTGGTCAGTATATGACAGCTTTTCCTGTAAAATCAGGAATGAGACAAGGATGTCCATTCTCACCACTAATATTCAACATAATATTGAAGTCCTAGCAAGAATGTGTAGGAAAGAATAAGAAATAAAAGGCATCTGAATTAAAAAGGAAGAAATTAACAGTCAGCAAAATTAAAAGGAAACATATGAAGTGGTAGAGAATACTTGCAAACTTTATCTCTGATAGGGCACTAATACCCACAATATATACAGAATGCATGAAACTCAATAGTGAAAAAGGAATTATCTTTAAAAAATGATGAAGGGGGGCCCTCCCTGGTGGCACAAAGGATTAGGACGCAGCACTGCAAGCGAGCCACAGCTGCTTCAGCATGAGTTCAGTCCCCACCCCAGGGGTGATCCACATAGCGTGACAGACTGCTCCCCATCTGCCTATTGCTCCCCTCAGCAGTGTACTTCATTGATCTTCCTGTTCTGCTCCCCACCCTGTCTCTGGTGAAGTCCCTCACTGCTCTTGCACCTCTGGCTTGTACCCCAGTTCTGTATGAATGAATAAATAAATCTTTAAAAAAATGAGCAAGGGACCTAAATAGAAATTGTTTGAAAGAAGAAAGTAACCAACAGGTCTGTGAAAAGGTGCGCCATATCACTAACCATCAGGGAATTGCAAATCGAAACCAAGTAAGATACCACCTCAACTGTTGGGATGATTGTTATCAAAAAGTCAAAACAGCAATTATTGGTGATTTGATGAAGGTGTGAAGAAAAACGGAACACTTGTGCACCACTGGTGGCAATGTAAATTGTTCAGCCATGATGGAAAACAGAATATTTTCTTTAAAAATTAATGTACAGTATAACAATCGTACTTTTGGATATGTATCCAAAGGAAATGAAATCTATCTCAAAGAGGTATCTGTATGTATTTCTATGTTAACTGCAGTGGTATTTATAGTTCTAAAGCTATGGGAACAGCATAAGAGTCCCTAAGCAGATGAACAGATAAAGAACACAGAGTATATACTGTAATTAGCATTATGCTAAGTGAAATAAGTCTAAGCCAGACATAGAAAATACTGAATGATCTCACTTACATGTGAAATATATTTTCAAAAGTTAAATTAACAGTAATAGAATATAATGAAAAAATATACATTTCTACAATAGTAGTTGTAACACCTAGAAATCTTATAACCCATAAAAACTTATACAGAAGCTCAGCAAGAAAATGGGGCATTTGAACAACAATGTAAACCAAATAGATGTAACATACATGTTATTAAACATTTCATCCATAAAATAGCAGAATATACATTTTCTCATATGGACACAGAACATTCTCCAGTATAGACTAAATGTTACACACAAAATAAGTGTCAATAAATTTAAACATGTGGAATCATACAAAATATCTAATTTGACTTTCATGGAATGAAATTACAATTAATAACTAAAGTTATAAATTAATAAATATGTGGAAGTTAAGCAACACTGATAAATAACCAATGAATCAAATAAATCAGAAAGGAAACAAGAAAATAAGTTGAGGTGAGTAAAGCTGAAAAACGGCATACTAAACATTGTGAGATACAGCAAAGCAGTGCTCAGATGAAATTTTGTAACTATAAACATAACAAAAGGAGAAATGTTTCCATTTAAATAGTAAATTGAATAATAGTATTTTAATAGTATATAATAATAAATAGTATTTTTTAAGAATCAGAAAATGAAAAGCAATCTAAACTGAAAGCAGTATTAAATAATGATGACTACATAGACACCAAAATAGGGAGCAGAATACTGTAGTTATAATCAATAAACCAAAAGTGGGACTTTCAAAAGATTGACAAAATTGACACTAGATTTAGAGAGAGCAAGAGAGAAAGGAAGGAGGAAGGAGAAAATTGAATAAAGATGTACAATTATATATAGTTGTTTATAAAACACTATTAACTAGCCGAAAGAAGAAAAATCCAGATATGCATCAGTGGGTGAATGAATAAACCAAGTGTG